GTGATAATGGTGCCGGATGTTCCGGGGAAACAACAGCTGGGCAAACAAGTCACGTTCTGTCTGTCTTGCAATAAAATTGTCTTGGTCATCTCAAATGTGTACTTCCCTCCCCCCCCGCCCCCGGTGCTTAACTAGTTGGAAAACATTAAATGGTTGCCACTTCCCTAAGCACAGGGAGAGGGATTTTCAGTGGGGCTTCCCACTTACTCTGTGGCATCTTTGAATGAAACAGGCTTGATTCATCTCACAGTGAATGTGCTGTTAAATTTTTTCCTGGGTTAGGTGTCACCCAATGTTGGCTCCCAAATATCATTCCAAGTTTGTGCAATGTCTCTGAAGTACAGCGTTTCAGTTGCCTTTTTACTGGTCTCTGTTTTATGCCAGAAAATCTCCTTATCTCTGGGTGGTTTCCTAATGGATAAGAAAATAGCTCGGGAGTTCATTTACTGTATCTTGCATTTAGGCGTAGCACCGAGCAGAATCAAGGTGACTCGGTTGGTAGTGAGCCTTTTACTGATGTCCTTTCAAATTCCTGTTGATAGTGACCAAAAACCATGGCACTCAGAAGATGCAGTTGCTAGGGGATGCTTTTCTTTCTCTTCCTTCAGTAAGTGGGAAGATTTCCTATTTGTATTTCGGTGCATACCAAAAATCGGCATTTGATTGCCGATGCTGTGTGATTAGCTGCTGGAGGCCACGATTGGCATCTGGGTCTAGTTGTCCCAAGCAGCCACGTCCAGGCTTGCAGGCTCTTCAAGCAGCGCAGATAGGTGGCACATAACATGGCTGCTGGTAATCACGGGCCCAGGTATCTGAAGCACATCTGTGGTTTCGGGGGCTCTTGGTGTCTCTACCTGCTGATCCCATGAAGGAGCATGCAGTTGCCTGGATGCACAAGCACGACATGGTTTACCGCAGCCCCCGGCAATTGTTCACTTGGAGAAGTGCAAGCACGTGGTGGAAATTTAGGATGTAACTATGGCAGTGGGGAGGAATGTGTGAAAAGAGCTTGGAGATGTCAGAGCACCCGCTCGTGAGGAGAGGGCCACGTTAGCAGAGCTGTTGGCTAGCAGTAAACAGTCCTGGCACCCTTGTTTCAGGACTTGGCAGCAGCAGGAGTTGAACCGAGTCCAGCTTTACTCTCTACTGCCTGTTCAGTAAGTTGAGGACAAGGCAGATGATTAAGGAAATGTGGGGAAACTGCTACAGAAGCTTTTGGAAAGATAAGAGACTTTTGTCTCCATGTCTGACAGTCTGGCACTTCTCACTAGCATTGAATTCACATGCAAATCAAAGGCAACATCTACTCCCACAGGAAGCTTTATTAATGTACAGGCCTGCTTGCGAATCTCCGTGCTGATGAAGGTTGTGGGACTGACTTCACTCTCAGATTAACTTCCCTGTCTATCCTCGCTTGAGCGCTGTGCAGCATCAGCAGCCTCAGTAGGGCTCCCACGCCGGCATCCGGCGATGGGCTCCACGCAGGAGCGGTTGCTGCGTGGAACCAGAGAAGGGGGTAGAGGTGCGGCGCTTGTCGCCTTGGATTAAATGGGATGTGCTGGCGTAATGAGGGCAGGTGTCCACCGGGCTTCAACCCGCATCAGCAAATTAATTTCATGAAGGCACTCCAAATGGGCTCGAAATACTTTGCATGTAAGAGGAAAGAGGGCTGATGCTTCCCAGACTGAGCTAGCCATCTTTTTTCTACCCATCCCGTCGTGTGTAAGGAGTGCGGATGAGACTGAAATGGCAGGGGTAGTGCTTGGTCCAGGGTGGGAGGGAGGAAGGACCGAGCAGGGAAACGCAGAAAGGCAAGGGACTTGGGATTCCTGGGTTCACTGTACCACCAAGGACACAGTAGCTACTTGATGCAGATGTTCAGTAAGAACCAGATCTGAGCTATAAACAACCTTCCACATCTTAAACCCAAGCTCATCTGATGCTTAGCTTTTATTGCTGTCAGTTATTTATAAGCGGAAGAGTGAAATCTTGAGAGAAGAGAGATGGGAAATGCCATTTCAAGCTGCAATCCCCTGAGCTGTCAGCTTGCCACCATCTCACCCGCACCTGCCCCTCCGCGTTTCTCCCTTTGCTGTTCCTGTCCATCCCGGCTCCTTGTATCCGTGATGCTCCCTCCAGCCAACTCATTCGTTACTCTCATTCTTTTTAATCCTTTCCTTCCCCCGCTGCTCCACGCTCCGTGCTGGTCCCTCCCTCTCGCCATTGCTGGTCCCACCAGGTCTCAGCGCCAGGACAAGTGCCAGCTGGACATGGAGCAGGGTGGTGTAGCTGTCACCTCGAGTGGAGAGCCTGCACAAGGGTGGGTGCGCGGGGATGTGGGTGCTGTGCAGGTGGGACTGGAGCAGGGACAGAGCTCTGGCTTTGCTCTATCAGAGCCTTGCCATTGCGAGCCTGGCCCCGAGGGCAGAGATCTTCATCAGCGTGGGGTCAACCGTGGTAAGGGCTCGTGGTGGCAGCAGCCACCACGCCAAGCTGCACAGAGCTTCATGGCCAGCTCGAGTAGAAAGCAGGCATTTCTTGCACGGCTACTTGTTCTGGGAATCTTCAAAAATTTCTGGCAGCCAATTTTAGTTGTGCAACCTCTCAGCTGCCAGAACGGATAGAATATGATCATATCACATGAAATGCATGCAGGGTCTGCTATAGCAACTGTATTTCAAAGAGACAACACATATGGTGACTGGTTCTTTTTGGAATAATATCTATAAGTTGATGATGTTTTATTCAAAAAGGCTGTAGCTTGAAAGGTTAGGGATGTTCTGATTGTTTAGTGTATGATTAAAGAAAGGCTTCTGTGTTTTTTTTGGCCTATTGAATCTAATTGCTGGGAACTAAAATGATCATTTGATTGCACATTTACCTGGAATTATTCTTCTGCAGAGCCAGTCTTAATAATATATAATAATATGTTGCGCTTGTACTGTATAGCGCTTCTTGTCTGAGCAACTCAGAGTGCTTTACAAGTATTCATTAATTAAATAAGCCATACAACACCCCTGTTAAGTAGGTGAGTATTTGTTGCCCATCCCCTTAAGCCTTGTAGGTTTTATTTCTGCTGCTTCTGCCCACCCTTGAAGATGCTTTAACAGCTAAATAAGCTAATTCAATAAAAATAACATTTTTTTAACCATACTTGGCACTTCTGCATAAAGGTTTCCTTTGTTGCATTGTATTACTTGGTAGGCTGTAGGGTCTTCTGGTTCTTGACGCTGAACTGACGGTGGGGATGGCTGTGTGTGTGGGAGCACAGATGCATGCCCGCTCTGGTGTGTGCCTGTGCCCGGCAGCTCCTCGCACCCCTCGTGGGGACATGGACCATTTTAGAGATGCTGCGGGTGCGCTGAGCTCCGACCAGCTTGAAATGCAAAATCTGATTTTACCTTCATTGCGCCAAGCTCTATTGGAAATCGCATCCACCCTTAAAGAGTTTTTCTGATCCAGTGGAGACTTGTTATTAAATTTGAAAGGAGGGCTCGTTGCCAGAGTGCGGTAAGGCCTCTCCTCCCCGCTTGCCCTGGCCTGCTGGATGGCAGTGGTGGTTCTTCAGCCCCCTGGGCTGCTGAATGTCCCTTCAAAAGTAAAAAGATGGGTCTAGGCCATAAAATAACAAGGTTTTACTGGGGGGTGGCGGATCCAAGTTTGCAGTCCTTGGTGTCAAACCTTTCCCGGCGGTTCTGCGCTGAGGTGAAACACTTTGCAACTTGGAGAAGCAAGTGAAACCCGAAGCGTATCTGACTCCTTAATTAAATAGGTATTAATTAAATCACTCAGAGAGCACACACAGTAGGAGTGGGGAAGGCTTTTTCCCTCCTTCCGTGTAGGCATCTTGCAAAGGGACTATTTTTCTTGTTTTACATTAATGAAGTCTTCAGCCTTCCCACTTTTCCACCTACACATGTACTGAACGTCTCCAAGGAGACCAAGAAAGCCCGAGTCCGGTGCTGGTGAATCCTCCGGGAGTAGCGGGCTTGGGTCTCACCAGCGGAGCCTCAGCTGTGCCACAGCCCATCTTGCAGGGATTATCCTTGCGGTCCCGTGGCTGGGGGGCCGGGAGGGAGCCGGGGCAGGGACTTGCTCCTTGTCCTGCTTTCCCCCATGTTTCATCTCCTCTTGCTTTCTTTTCCCCACCTGATGGAGAAATCGTGCCTCGCAGAGGGGCTGGCTCCAGTGTCCAGGGATGCTTTTCCGTTACTTTCCACGAACGTTTGCAATAATCCCCCACCATGTGATTCTCTGCTCATGCTTTTGGGATCATGTCCCTCGCCTCTCCGTCCCAAGAAGCCGCACTGTCCCTTTGCTGCTCTGCCCCCTCCTTTCCGAGTCCCCACCACTGGTCCGTCACAGGCTCTTGGTGATTTTGGGGGTGTGAGATGCAGTCCCTGCTTTTCGTTGCATTCACTCCAGCTCCTCGCAGCTTCCTCAGCCTTTAGCACGGTACCTCGAGGGACTCGGCACAGCTCCGCCTGCCACTGGCTCTCCTCTTTCTCCCACCATAGCCTTCCAGAACCTTCCCTGACTTTCTCTGGTGCTCAGGAGAGCAGACAGTGATAGATGACTACCCTCTTCTGTACACCAGACCTGACCCGCTGGAGAAGAGGAGCATGAAAGCCATTAGCACATGAGCCTGCCCGGTAGCAAAGAAGGGTATGAGCTGCTCCAGGCGGGGGATAAAAACAACCGTATGGTGCTTACCACCGGGATTCCTGCAGTTACTCGAGGTCCCCCACAGGAGCTGAACATCACCTGCTGCTGTTTTTCTCCATAGTCAAAATGGGAAATCCAGCGGTGGGATATCGCCCCATTGCGTGCAAATGCTGAGTTGTTTTTTTTTGTGGAAGCCACCGCTTTCCTCAGTGGAGGTGCTTTGGGAGTGGAGCGGACCCCTCCGTGACCAAGGGGTGCCTTGACCCTATGCCGTGCGTGTAGCTCCCCACACCCTGTCTGCTGTAAACTCAATTTTCAAACCTCTTTCCTCACAGGCTCTCCAGGTGGCACGGCAGCTTCTACTGCAACAACAGCAGCAGCAGCAACAACAGCAGCAGCAGCAGCAACAAGTTAGTGGATTAAAGTCTCCGAAGAGGAATGACAAACAGCCGGCCCTTCAGGTAAGGGGAGCCTGTGTGCCTCCGTGAGGGGCTGGGGCTTGTAAAAGCTGAATAAATGCGTCTTATTTCTGAACGTTGGGATGGGACTTTCGGGAGCTTCCTCCCAGTGAAGTCCACAGAGCAGCTGCGGCATGAGGACCGGTGCTAGGTGCTCCTGAAAATCACACCCACGGCGTGTTTACAGATCGTGAGCGTGTACTTTTATTAGCATCTGGTAGGGTTGGATCATGACAAAATGGAATAGCTTTTGTTACCGTGTCAGTGTGCATAGGAGATTTGCATTAACATTTCTGTTTGATTGCTGTTCCGTTTGTAGGCTGTGTTCACTCAAACCGTTGATTTGCTGTGTCAAGGATATTGGGAAATACTAGGATATCATATCATCGGTGTGTTTTTTCCCCTTTTATTGTCTGCTGATTTATGGACATCCTCAGAAATAAAATCTAAATATTATTGAGCTTTGTGCTGTTACAAATTCAGAAAGCTAAAACCGATACAGCATTCCCAAACAGAAGATGTATGCACACATGTGCGGCTTTGGAGTACATTCTGCTAGTCTTGCGGGATAAATCACAGGAGTTAAAGACAAGAAAGACCTATTAGGTCATGTATCACTTTTTTTTTTTTTTTTTTTCTTTTTTTAGTGTTAGAAATTCCAAGGGGTGGGGGGACTGGTA